TCATTATCCTCCTCCTCCTCCTTTCGCCTCCCTCCTCCTCCCCCTCCTCTTCCGAGGCGTCGTGCCATTCTCGAGCTTCTGTTGGGGAGATGCGCCGACCCTAGGGGCCCGACCTGCCAAGGTCGGAGGTTGTCCACCCTCCCCGCCGTGCGGCCCGCGATGGACCCCCCTGCTCTGGATGGGGAGGCTGGCAACATGGACAGCATTCAATCTGGAGCTGGCGGCTCTCCAGCAACATGCGGGACCAGAGCTGCAACGGCTGGAGGTCAAGACGAAGGTGGCAGACCTCTTCGAGCTATACAAGCACGAGGAGCTGTTGAACACCCCCATCCTCGTCTTTGCCGCGTGCCCCTGCCCGCCAGAGGAACCCAAGTAGTACCTGGACCACCTGTACCAGCGCTACGAGAAGCGCCCCCCGTCGGCGTTCGAGCGGAAGTTCCTCTACGACGCCATTTGTTTCGAGGCAACTGCCCGATGCGTCGGTAGCATGCAGCACCCGCAAGCCGGATTTCACCCGCATCGGTCCCACGTCCTACACGCTGGCCGTAATGGACCACCCCCCAGGCTACCGCCCGACAGCCTGCAACCATGGAGCTGGAACACCACTGACTCCACTGGTCGGAGGTCGAGATTTGGTACCCCGTATGCAAGATGGAGCGCAGCTGACCCCGAGTGAGTTCATCGGCTGCGACGGCATCATCAACCTGGTGGAGCCTCGCACTGCCGCCACGATGCTTGAGTGGCTGATCCACTTCGTCGGCGTCTGGGAGGAGAGCTTACCGCCGGCGCGCGCACTGGCCGTGCTCCAGCACCAGCCGAAGCGGGCCCCCAGAGCCCCAACCTGTGCGTCGTGCTGAAGGCAATGCACTGGGACACCATCCCCGCGATGCGAAGGGGTTAGGCCCCAGTGGCGCGCGGCGTGCTGAGGGCAATGCGCTTGGTCATCTTCCCCTGCGGGGCGACGGGTTAGGCCCCAGCGGACTGCGGCGTGCTGAAGGCGGCGTTCTGGGACATCTTCCCCCGCGGGGCGAGGGGTTAGGCCCCGGCGGTCTGCGGCGAGCTGAAGACAGTGCAATGGGTCATCTTCCCCTGCGCGGCGAGGGGTTAGGCCCCAGTGGACCGCGTCGCGCTGGAGGCCGTGCACTGTGTCATCTTCCCCCGCGGGGCGAGGGTTTAGGCCCCAGCGGACTGCGGCTGGTCGCTAGAAATTGGCTGACGCCGAAGCAGTGCGAAGTGAGCGTTTGTGAGGGCTGACCCCAGTCTCTGAAGCTTGGTTTGCAGCTGCGCTGCCTGTGCCGAGGCCATGATTGACACTGCCTGGAAACAATGTCCGCCAGCGCTCTCGATTTGCGTGGGACCCCCTGGCGCTCTCACCCCATCCGCTGCGTAGTTTCTGGCGGCGGCATTTCTCACACTAGTGCGGAAGGGCCGTAGCCCAGCGGCGGGCCACTTCACGGGCGTCACCGCTGGCCCCCTCTTGGATAGCTCCTATTCCTTTTCCTCAACTAGAAAGCCTTGGAGACCAGTTCAGATGAGTCGCGAATGCGCAACGCATCACTCGGGCACCAGCCGAGCTCAAGGGGGCTGGGGGGGTCACCCCAGACGCAAAATACTTGCACCTGCCCAGCGCGCGATCATCGACTGGAAGGGCACCGTGCAACAGACATGGAGACATCGGCAGCTTGCCACTCATAGGCTGCCTCCTTTCTTTAGACTTGAGGTTGCCCGCGCACTTCCTCCCCAAAGACAACGCCCATGACGCCTCGCAGCGCCCGCGGCGCGCGCGCCGCGCCGCGGGGGCATCCGAGCCCGCGACCCAGGGCGCGCGCAAGCAGCGCCCGAACTTATCGGGAGCCCTCATGACACGGAGAAGGGACGGGGTCAAGGACGGCAGGGGGTCTCGGCGAGCGCAGAGACCTTCCGTCAACGGCGCGCGCATCTCCAATGAGTCACGCGTCAGCGAGGGACACGCGGGCCCATGGGCCCACTGAGGCGAGGACGCATAAATTCCTTGCTGATCTGGAAAATCTCCGAGGCGGGGGGCCACGCAGCCAGGGTTCTACCCGCGCCGAGACACCGGGCCCGGTGCGATTTTAACGCTGCATTGAGCACGTCGATCGCTGCCTGATCAAACACCTGCTCGCGGGCGCGTTGCCCCGACATCC